GTTAGCATCGGAGAAATAAAGAACAACAAGCTGAAAATAATTCTAACTGAAAAACAGAGCGCAGAAGCCTCCGTTATCAAAACCCTAGAAACACCCTTTGAAATGGATGGTTTTAGTACTTTATGTTAAAAATGACTTTTAATCAAACTGAGCATTGAATACAGGGGAACCCATTTTAACCTAACACAGGAAGAACACGCAAATAATGCGTACATGGCCCCCCCACTGTTTGTAAATGTATCCAATACTCTATTTGGTGTTCCAAATTAAAATAAACACACAGTCAAAATTAGGCTACTTCCATGAAGTTTTTACAGTATATTTTTAATGTACTTTGTTTTTTCTTTGCATATTACTTTTAATTAAATCACTATTTCATGTACTTTGTACTTATTACTGTGATTACTGTACTATTTAATTACTACTTTATGCATTTTGTCTGAACGAGAGCAGGGATTGATACTCTGTACCACCAATTTCCCAACTCAAGATCTAGTAACATTTCAGAGAAATTGCCGATAGGTATGGAGGGTTTAAGAGCCAAAACTAAATATAAATACATAATGCTTAGATTAATGTGTAAATATTGCCACCATAAATAAATGGTGACAAACAAGTTCTTTATTAGTTTTGCCTCTTTAAACCTCAATAGGTGCGTCTTTGCTGTGAATGAAAGCAGTAAGTGAGCTAATCACAAGACTCCGCTGATGACGTATGCAAATCCACGACTTTAGCATTCACACTCGAGGTTGAGCATTCACACTAATGCTTTCCCTCGTCTCGCAGACTTGTTGCATATTTAATACTTTACAAAAACATTCTGCAGCGGACAAAACAGCTCCTCGTCCACCACGTTCCTGAAAACAATAAGAGACCTTTATAAGATCTCCATACTTCTGTTGAGGGGGGGGGGGGAGACCCCCCAGCAGATGGTTGAGAGGGCATATCGTTTTTATATTTGTGTATCAGGTATTCTCCAGGTTTACAGGTGAATATCTTACATCTTGTTTGAGTTCTGGATAACGTAAACTGTATTCATGAGGCCCTTCCCACCGCCTGGACCTCAGCGCCCCTGTTGGATCGTACGCTCTCTGTAAAATCTTTTGAAGGCTTGCCAAAGTGCTTTGATAATTCCATGCCCCAGAGCTGCTCCTTTGATCTTCAAATCTGATGCTGAACCACTATTGTGTTCTACTACCACCGAAGAGAGGTTTGGTCTTCTCATGAGGATGACAACTGTCAATGAAAGCCTGATCTGATCAATCACAACTAATGCCGAATGGCTCATTCAAAAGAACGTGCAACGTTCCTCATAACACGTCCGTATACAGTATATGCTTTGAGTAAAATGCATTAGTGCACTACAACAGTGGCTACCATTCAGAGCATCGTGTTAATCTGCTATTAGTGCTGACTAATATCCTCAGCACTTCCTGCTGCATGCCGCTTCACAGTAAAAGCCTTCCAGTGGCGTTCCATTGAAGCTGTGCATTACCATTAATACACTGCAATCTTCACGTCAATCATTTTACGAGATAGTAATGTGTCTCTGAGGTCTTTAATAGAAATCTATGAAAGTGAGCCAATCGTTCTGTTGGAATCTGTATGTTAACTCTAATGTGTTGCACCATAATGTATTTAAAGGTGCCCTGACGAGTCTTCGCCTAAAGAAACAAAAGTTCAGTTAACATTGAATGTTACAGGGTTCATACACATTTTGACCAATGGATTTCCATGACTTTTCCATGACTTTAAACCAAATTTCCATGACCAAACATTTTGTGAAATCTCGGTGTATACATGAAAAAGTGAGAAAATGTAGTATTTAAACTAACAATGAGAATTCCAAAGCATACAGTATACCTTAAATGACACAAATGAATGAGAGACAATAGTTTGATTAAAAGAATAAACATTTATAAATATACTCTGGTTGACAGGCATTCATAACAGTGACACATCAATAAGAGCTTTAGTAGGTAGTAGCATCCAGCTAGTGCACATATTGCTTTCCCTTTTGTAGAGCACATTTTTCATTGAACCCTGTTACTGTAAGGCTTAATATTAACTTCCACTGTTACTGTAAAGCTGTTAGAATTGTGGCCTATCTTCTATTTGCAATTAATATGCATTCAATCCAGTTCAATTATTTAAATGAAAATGATAATCTACTCTGGCTAAGGTAACTTATCAAGAGTAAAATAATAGCTGTGATCTATACACACCTCTGCATTAGCAACCTGCTGAAATGAAGGTACAGGCACCTTAACACTCTCATTACTTCAGGGTTATTGGGAGCAACGTGGGACTGTTGGTACACTGGCTGTGGTCATCACAGTGAACATGTCTGTCAGTGTGATGAGAGGACATGTGAGCCCTTGTTGCTGTAGTTCATCTCCTTGGAGCAGAGGCTGCATTTAGCATAGCCTGCCTTATCAATGTATTTAAAACACTGTGACAGCGGGAAGCTGTACTCACGTCTGTTTAGACCTCCACCTTTATCCAGGCCCAGCTCCACCTTTATCCAGGCCCAGCTCCACCTTTATCCAGGCCCAGCTCCACTCACATCTCAGCCCTGCGTCAAGCTGCGCTACAACCAGCCTCCTCTTCCTGAAGCTCTTTGACCTCATCATCTCATCAGTATCTGGGCCTCATGTTTCGTGGTCATGAAAGTTATTCTGACCACGACATCATCCTCATTCTACTTTGAGTTAAAACAAACAACCTGCAACCAGATGCGCCGGTGTTCCGGTTTAACGTTAACAAGTGACTGCGTGAACTGAACCGGAACACGAGGGGCTGCATGTTTCATCACGTTACATTTTTTCCTTCTAAATCGTGACAATGACAAACGTTAACAGTCGACAAATTCCGCATGCAGTGGACGTTAACTTAACCCAGCAAGTATGAACGGTAACGGACATAACGTAACTTAAACTTTAACGGAGGGAAATGAAGACGCTGTACACATCTGAACGCTGATTGGCCAAGACTCGACACGTCAAAGATGTTCTATTGTGAAGATCATGACATCATCTTTTCTCCTCGTCTCACTCCAATCTGAGAAATGCTGGCTGACAACTCAGCATATATGAACGACATGAAAATATGAATATAACAAATTTCCATGACTTTTCCAAAACTTTTGGGATTTTATTTTTTTCCATGACTTTTCCAGGCCTGGAAATAACCATTTTAAAATTCCATGACTTTTCCCGGTTTTCCATGATCGTACGAACCCTGATGTTACTCCCCAAAATACATGGTGTGTATCATTGGGCTCTAACAAATGTGTTGAATGCATTTCCTTCCACGTGAAACATTGGCAAAGCAGATTCGTATTTTAAATCCCGCGATGTTTGCATCCATGTTCACTTGCTGTCCGTGTTCTTCTTCACTGCCTTTGCTGCATTGCAGCATATGTTGCCATGTTACTGCCGCTTTTACATCAGTGACATACATTCGAGGCCATCGACAGGTCAATAAGGCTACTAGAGGTCAAACACTCCACAGGGAACCCTTAATGGAGGTAATCTTTCCTTTTTTAAATTCATGACTTATGTTGTTAGAACTCTGCAACATGGATTCTATATTGTATTTGACTGCATTCCTCGCCAAATTGCTTTGGTGTTGCCTTTGTTTTTGTTCTTTTTGACAATCAAGTGATAATTTCAGACAATTTCCAAGGAAAAAATGTTTACAGCCCTGAAAAAATGAATATCTTTTGGATATTATTTGTCATTTGGACTGCTAAAGACATATATAAACATCACCTTGAGCTGTCGTTTTTAGCAATGTAAGCAGCAACAATTGGTCAAATGGAGGACATGTGGTGGACTATGTTGACACAAACCAAAAGGGAATAGTAAAAGTAAAGTAAAAAAAACTGAGGTTAAAAAAAAATCCCCAGCAATGGAGATAAAACAAATGCAATAAATAAACATCATGCGGTGTGACAGTGACAGGATGAGCTCAGAACAAAGAACATAGAAAAGGCCCTGGGACAAAGGGTAATTTGAAATGCGAAGGCAACGTGCGCGATGAGCTGAGGTGGTACTCACGATGTTGTTGTGCTCCGGCAGGTGGTTGTTGCTCAGCAGCTCGTCCTCATGAACCAGCGGGGAAGGTCTGGGAGCCGGAGGGGGGCTGATGTCTGCAGGCAGGGAGCTGGGGCTCCCCATCCAACTGATAGAGTTACCTGCATGGAGACACAACCCCATCACTGCCTGTGTGTGTGTGTGTGTGTGTGTGTGTGTGTGTGTGTGTGTGTCTGAACCCTCCTGGCCCCCGTGCTGCGATGCTGCATCTGAGTGGGCGTGAACCTACAGATCTATTTGGCAGCTTTATTGTCCAAGCTGTCGGTGGCTTGATAAATCACTGAGTTTTATGGGAAGCGCATTGACGCATCGATCCCGGCTTTAGTGTTTGGACATACAGGCTCGGTGTGTATCGACGGCCTTATCGACAGCTGCTGTGATTGAGTGACAGCCGGAGGGGCTTTACACTCCGGCTGCTCTCCTCGCACCTCCTGAGCCCTGCAGAGGCCCGGAGCTGCAGACACACACTGTAAAGCTCTTATGAATGCTGAGGCGGTAGCATGTGGCTGACACATAAAGAGGTAGAGTTCGGTTCATGCTGTGAAAGTCGCTGCAGGAACCAGCAGACAGATTCAGCAGACATTTGTGTCGAAGACATTTTTTAAAATTCATTCCCTTTGAGTTGTTCCTCAGAGTGTCTTCGATGGTGACACATTAATTCTGTTTTCATAATTCGGGTCCTCAGATACATTATTCAAAACAGGGGTTATTAAAACAATATGGATAGCAATATTGTTGGTAAGTCTTTTAAATGTGACAAACAATACCCACAATTCTAAATAATCAATTGAGTTTGAAACTGCACACAGGCCACCTTAGGACAGGAATACATAGTAATTATGATAGAAATTATTTGCTTTTAAATTCTATTCTTGATTAGACCTGAGAAAGAGCCTCTAAATAAATAAAATGATGTACATGCAGTAGGAATCAAAGGAATCTTTCAACTCAATTTGCACAAATATCCTGAACACCAAGAATGAGTTTAGTTCCACATGTTGGGAAAATATTTTCATTTTGAAGATGAGAAGATTGAAACAAATCACATGTCTGTGTGTTTAGTGTAGAGCTGGATTCAGGATGTGGTTAGCTTAGCTTAGCATAAAGACTGGAACCAGAGGGAAACAGTCTGGCTTTGTCCAATGTTTATTTTTATTTTTTATTAACACACCTACCAAAAGATCTGAAGCTCACTCATTAACATGATGTATCTCTATTATTTAATTTAATGTAAAACAGAGATAAACTAAATATGTTCTCAAACTGCCTCTTGAGAAATAATCCCTGCACTTATGTGCAGTGTCTCCGACTTCTGTGTGCGTTGCCAGATACGATTGTTGTGCACAGGTTTTGGTTTTGCTCTGTAAACAGGCACGCTGGTACCAAAACTGGCAACCTCACTGTGATAACAAGGTTGCGGGCGAAAAATCCGCAAATTACCTCCTAACGTCTATTCCTAACCAATTATTTTCTTGACCTCTATGGAAAACGTCACAGGGTCAAGGAAAGGTGTGAAACAGAATACATGAGGAGCTAGGAAAGGACAGCAGTGGTGAGAATCTGACTACACTTTGGTAATTATAATGCAAAGGCGGATGTCACTGACGTAGGTCTGGCATGGCGAAACTACAACGAAGAAGGACTACAAAAAGCACAACTAAAACATAACCCCATGAAATCTATTTTTTTTTCCTACTGATGCTTCTTGTTGTCGTGATTACAATTTGTTCGTTGACAGTTTGCTATATTTAGTGTTTAGTTTATAACTGTATCAAAATAATTGTGAAACCTGTGCAAGATAGGTATATCATTAGTTTTCATGAATGGTGCGTTACTTTAAATGTTGCCGCCGCAAGGAATTGTGAGGCGGCATTATCTTCTGTCATTTGGTAAAGGATGGTCTAAGTTTCCTAAGCTAAAGGAGCCAAGAAGGGAAGCATTGAAGCACCTCCTTAGCATTTAGAGAATTCAAACAGGTCTTATCATGGCGGCCACTTAGATACTTCCGGGCAAAAAGCACTTTTTGACCACAGCCCAGCACTCCGGTAAGCTCTGCAGAGTCATGGTGCCCAGCTGTTGTTTACTATAAAATAGTTCCAGCACATAACTCCCTCTAAAATTAAGACATGTCATGTTTGCATTTAAGTTTGTGTTCGGATTAAATGGACAAAATGGCAAATGTGTAAACTTTAAAGGTGTTTTTGAACTACGGCCATAATAGCCGTTTCCCCCTGCTTCCAGTCTTTATGCTAAGCTAGGCTAACCACATCCTGATTAAGCTCCGTACTTAGGCACCTTTAAAAGGAAGCTTTCTCAATCCACTCAATCCACTTGTTGCTTTAGACTGAACCCTTGTATGAGTTGTCTATGGGTAGATTAATGAACAAATACAAGTGTCACCTCCTCGGTACAGTGGGGCTCCTTTTGGTCTGATTTTCACCAGACATTTTAATAACCTCACTATAAAAACAACAACAATAACAATGAGCAGAGGGCCCTTATTGAATCCCCGTTCTTCCCGCTCTGTGTGAATTAGTGTACACAAGTATCCATCAGATGCAGTGCACGTAGTACAATCCACATGGCATTTTAATTAGATTTTGCCTATAGAGTCCCAGACAGCCACCAGTTCCCCTCTCCTGAAATACTACCCGGCCCAAGGTCGTGTATAAATGATGTTGTGGTAATTTCATTAAATGCAAATTTAGGTGATATTGTGGTATAGCGGTGCATACTCTTAAACAAATTTGCAATTAATCAAATGACCACAATCAAACTGGCACATTTCAAACCAAGAGCTCTGGTGGCCACTGGGCCAGTTGCCCAATTCAGCCAGTCAGGTCATTCTCACTCCCAACTCGTGAAATACAGCAGCTTGGTCAGTGGCCCTTCGCTTTCAGACTGTGACTCTCTAGATACCCATCTAGTGTCAGTTCTGAGCTTGTGCACATACAGTTTCTTCCCTTTACATGCACAGTCTCTTTTCAAGAATAATTTCCAAAGTTTACTGGGTTTTAAGGTTTGCTTCAGGAAAAAAAAGAGGAAAAGATTGTGGTTTGGGTTAAAATAAGTACGACTCTTGAGAGGAAATAAGTATGTTTGTTATGCAACGGACGTTAATACGTAAGTAACGTAACAAAACTAAGGTAAAATGAGTAAACCCCGACTTTGTTTCCCACTGATAGCTGTCTCCTTGGTGAAAGTCCTGTGTTTGTTTGACCCATCCAACCTCCCCTCCCATGCACCTTACGGACTCGCTCTTTATAACCCGTCAGTGTCTGCCTAACAGGCAGAGCTGGAAACTCAGTGGCTATCTGCAGGTCTTGTTGGCGAGCTACTTCGGGGGGCAAGCTTATGTTTCAGAACGAACGCTCAACAGCAAATAGTTTCGAATAAAGTGCCAAGTACCAAGTGACTAGTCAGGAGGGGGAACGGGCTGCCCAGTCGGTAACCCAGCCTCAACGACAACGTTTTGGATTAGAATCAGGAGTTGTTTAGTCTAAGAAAATTGCTGTATTAAAAGTGTTAAGCAGTCAACACAACAACTGCAAATACAACAAAAAATGATGATAACAATGATGATAACCTCTCTGAAATCTGATGAAAATGTCATCCCTGTATCACTTCAGTTTGAAGGGACTTGTAATAGTCCAATGGACTGGTGAATCACCACAGAGACCGAACACAGCATCTGAAAAGACCAATACATGACACACGTGTGTAGAGTGTAGGGACTCACGCAGGCAGGTGTTGTGGGTAAACATGCGCTGCAGCCTCAGACAGTCCTGCCACTGGTTGCCACTGCCTTCACAGTTACACCACAGCGACACGTCTGAAGAGCTGTTGCTGACGTAGTTGGGTGTCATGATGGTACCTACGGGTCAGAGGGGTCAAAGTTGGCAAATGTTAGCTTCTGTACAAGTTCAAGGACCTAGGGGTTTTACTTTACTGTTAATCTGTATCACAGTAACTCAGAGATGTAAACACAATCGCCAGATGCAAAATTAGCCTGGAAGCCTCTGCTGGCTTCCACCCCGCATTTTACTTTGAGCAATTTGGGAGGAAAATAAGCTAAATTGCTTCACGGCACGACACAGAAAGAGGATGCTGTTCTTATACTTCAAACTAAGCTGAAACATAGCCTGTAGAAATCAATGATGTAGCCTCTGTGACTTCTCCTAGGGGAGCTGAGAGGACATTTTGAAGTCCGGAGTTGGTGTTTTTGTTTCCGCTCAATGCCATCTTGGCAAATTTTAGAGGCAAAAAGCCTAATTTTGACGAAGTGTTGAAGTCTGGATGAAGCTGAGGTAGCAAACACCATAGCTGAGTGCAATACACACTCCCAAAGTATCCCATATAAAAATTAAGAAAAAACACGTCACCATTTTGGGAAGTGCACTGACTGGTCGTAACACCTGTAGAGTGCCAACATAAAAACTATATATATTTCCAATATATTGTTATTTCTTCAGGAAAACAATGCACTGCAATCACATTATTTGATTATCTCTGGCAGCTACCCTTTGGTAAATATGTGGATTATGCAAGCTGTGTCTTTAAGAAAGCTATGAACCTCATAGAAAAGTCATTCATCATTGTCAGAGCAGGCAGAGAGCCACTCACTGCCTCTCTATACACATCTCTTGTCAGCTATCACGCGTCCTCACTTTCTAGCTTGCTGCTTCTTCTCCTCCATGTCTGCTCCGTCTGATCACCTCGCTGACACACTTCCTGCCTCTCCACCTCATTAATCTCCTGTTCCAGCCATTCATCCATCCTTCCTACTCATCCACTCTATCGCATTCTGTGCAGCCACTTCTCTTTGGAGACTTGCGCATTGTTAGCTCTGTTTAAGAGCTGTTACTCATGATACAAATTCATGGTTTAACCCAAACTGCTTTGTCTTTTCTCTTCATTTCAGTCCTTTTCTTCATGCTAGCCAGCATGCCCATGTGGTCCTGTGATGTGTCTTACAGCAACAATTGTTACAGACCAACTGATGGTTTGGGCCTCTATGTATGGAAGTTCATTTATGAAACAAAAGAACGGAAAAATTAAATAAACCAAATACTAAATTGTGACAAAAAATGTGGTGCTATTTCCCTGGTTTACAAAATTGTTAAGCCGTGGTTCCATTCATTCTACAACTGAGGGTGCACCTCGGTGTAGCGTCCCACTTATGCACAATTCCCGATCCACACTCCATTCCAGTTGGTAGAGGTAATGCACCATAACATTATTTCCCAGGAATTCAACTCCATTTGGCTGTCTATGTATTCCTTCAAAGGCAAATTCTATAAATATGGGTAATGGTAGCAGATCTCCTTGACAATCACTATTCAAAACAAGAATCCCTTTTGTTATCTTCTTCTCTCTCCTGGCAAACCAGCGAGAGTTGGATTCATTTTTTTTCCGCTTGGAGTCTGCACGGACCCTTGTGGAAATAAGCAGATGGCGACATTTATGTCACACGCACCAAAGTGGACCCCCGGACCCACAAATAGTATGAATTGGCCATGACGTTTTGTTGGCATACTCATGTAGCCTAGTAGCTTAGCTACTTAGTCTAGGAGATTGGTATTTGATTTGTAGATAACAGCATTGAGGAAGGGATTGAAATAAACAAAGAACTCTTTGGTGGTTTATTTATATATATATATATATATATATATATATATATATATAATTGGTTCTTGATACTGAAGCCTTCAGTGGTGCACACTGGAACTAGGCTGCTGTACAATAAATGAGATGGTGGGATCCAACAGGATCGTGCTTTATTTCTGGGTCCAATGCACTCGTGACTGCTCTGCTCTGAGGTTGGATCTAAGCACCAACATCAGTTGTGATCACAATACTGTGCTCTCTTGCTCTTCTGAGCTGACATCTTGACTTTATTGCATCTTTTTTTACCATTTTTCTTTCTGTTTGCCTGCTCGGTAGCTCTACCTCTAGTACTTCTACTCGGTAGATGTCAGTTGTTGATCAGAAATCAAACTTACTGCCAAGTTATATTACATAGTTCAAGTGCCCAAGGCCTCTCAAGTGTCAGGGAAATCTGCATTAGGATTTTCAAAATGTCCTACAGACAAACTCAGTAACATATCAAGAAATCCTCTCCTAGAAGTTATGTTCTGCTGGCAGTGAAAATGAAATTCACATCACTCCTCCTTTCCTAACCGTTCCCCCCTGCATCCCGTACCGATGAGTCCAGCGTAGGCTCGGAGGCACAGGCCTGCTGAGTCTTTCAGACAGCCGCTGGGTGTCAGAGGAGATGGCTGGCAGTTATTAAGGAAATCTGCCAGTCTGGACCTGGCAACAACACAAACAACAACTCAACATCAAACACAAGAAGTGGGCTGGAAATCCGGGTGCGCATGTTGGGGGTGTGTTTGCATGCATATCAATTTGGGTTCAAGAGATGTAGGGTTTTCACTCCAACACCGTTTCATATAGGACTTTGTGATTTCTATGCATTGTTGAGGGCAAATACCAACTTTGCCAGTTTTCAATATACACCAATTTGTATCACTGTTTTCTCCATACATTAACATTACAAGATGGAAGAGCCAATCAAACTAAAGACTAAAATGAATGAGAAATCATTGCACGAGATTTAAACCCATAAATATATTAACAGAAGAAAAGTAAATCTCCAAGAATCGTTAGATAGAATGAACTTTGACATATGAATTGGCAAAGTGGACCAATAGCAAATCAGCTCTACTTCTGTGTTCACACTACCACCAACAAAGCAACAGGCTTTTCATTGCACGAGTCATTTTCAATAGAGGAAGCTACAAACTGAAGCCACTTGCCACTGTGTGACGCTCCACAATTTAAAGCTTAACGGACCTCAAAGTTGACCTCAACTTTTCTCAGCGATCGGTGGTGAAGCGTCTACCAATCATGTTTCATCATTGTTTCCCCTTCTCCTTAACTCCAATTCCGTTTCATGACCCTTCGCCGTGTCGTTGGAGCGCTGAAAATCATTGAGGTCAATTTTGATGTATAGCATGTCCCGCCCCGTCATGCAGCAACAAGTGTTGGGCCTACAGTTGTAGCTTCATATCACTGGCTTCCATTGAACACTTGAAGCCTTTTGCTTTGTCAGTCGTAGTGTGAACATAAGGAAACAGGGAGCTGGAGAGGCCCAAGCACTACATAACCCTACTCTGTCAAAGTATAAGCTGCTCCACAAATAAAGTTAGAACATTTAAATTAATATATTTTAGTACAATTTAGACTGTTATATGTTGGTTAGCTGCTTTTGAGGATTATTTACTGCTATTCTACCTTGCCACCTGAATTAGCTCGCCAACAAGCTCTGCAAATAGCCACTGAGTTTCCAGGTCTGGTTATTATACACACAGATGAATTTTGCTGTACATGCAACTGTGGTTAAATGCATACAGTGGGCGGATGATGTTAATAAGCTCAAATGTCTTTCTATGCCTTGCCCAATATCAGGATATCAACAATGTGATCTTATTTTGCTGCCAAGCATTAATGACTATAACTGTTAGCCAGCACTGTGGGGGATCAATTAACCATTGATAATCGAATTTCATAGTCGGCACCAATATTTAGAGACAGTAGTCTAAATTCCCTGATTCTTTTATAGCACCAAATAACACCCCAACACTCTACAATAAATATGTAATCAAACTGTCTAGAGGTGCACCGATTGATCGGCCGACAAACCAAACCAGCCAGTCAGCTGATTGGCCATCACCGGTGACCAGCCGATCAGGCTCTTGAATCTTATTTAACACTTGTGACACAGAATGTAGGGCCAAGCAAGTGTCGGAATATCGCATCACTTATCAGCGGACACTTTCTGTCAACACTGGATCCGTCAAACATGCACTTCTATTATGTCATGTAAACAAAACACATACCTATCAACTGTGAACTTGAGAGCAGACTGGAGACATCACAAATGTTTGTGTGTGCTGTCAATTAGAGTTTTTAGGAAGAAAATGAGAATCTGCAGGTCGGACTTCAAAAAAGAAAAATAAATCGGAATCAGCCAAGAAAATAGCAATCGGTGCTTCTCTAAAACTGCCTTGTATAATCTTATTGTATAGCCTTTTACATAGACAGCATCAGCCCCCTACATTGGTCTGGGCTTCATGTCTAACCTGCAAAGGTCGTCTCGGCGGCAGAAACTCTGCTGGTGGAGGCAGTTCGGTTGCAGACCCTCCATCTCCTGAAAGGAACAGGACGGGACAATGGTTTTCCTCCTCCTCTCACCACACAGGGTGTCGGTGCAGGGGCAGAAGAGGACGCCCAGGCTGTACTCCTCAGGCACCCGCTCCAGGAAGCGCCGCAGGCCCCGGTGGCACTTGTGCTGGTTGCATCGGTTGGTCCCGGGCACCCGTTTGGTGCAAGCCAGGACATACTCTGATCGCAGAGAGCCGCACTTCTCGTACAGGCCACAGTCCTGCGCTGCCTTCAGGCACTGGTTCTCACCATCCAGTTGCATGAAAGATGACACTAAAGGGGTTGAGGAAAAGTCAAATTAGCCGAACGCAAAGCACCAGTGTGTGCAGAAACTTGTGAAGAGTGCCAAAAATGGAAGTGCCAAACCTTGTACGATTATTGCTATGGTACATTTTGCAGCTTAGCCTGTGAGTTGCAGCAGAAGTAAAGAACTACACACTACATATAACATGTACATACACTGTTGAAGATGGAACAAAAACTGCAAAACAGGGACAGACAAGGAATCAACCCACTACTCTGACAGAAAAGACACTTTAGGAACATTTCAATGTGTGCTCAGTGTTTGAGATTGAAGAGTTGACTTTGTCCTGATGGTGGTGGTAAAGGAAAACTCATCTAATCTCCAAAATCAAAACGTGTCCAACCTATAGGGTGTCTCTGCATGTGCCTCTGCTCAGTAAACTTTATTGCTGCCTAAAAGAGAAAAGGCAAAGAAAGGGCCACATTGTGAACAACGATCACTAATTGGTCAAAGAAACTTTGACGGAGGAAAATCTTTTTTTTTTTGTCTCGCATGCCTCTATAGCAAACAAAAATACGAAAAAAATCTTGATGATTTGAAGTAAATGGGCTCAGCTTAAAACATTTAAAAGGAAGGTTCTAGTGAAGATGGACGAGGTTCAAAGTTATACTGCACAAGTTGTGTGTGAGTTTGTAAATGTTTTGATTAGTTTTGCTGTTTCCCCATTTACCTCAATTCAAGACAAAACGTTTCTCTGTTAGGCGTTGAGAAAAACAACATTTTTTTCAACAATTCAGGGTTACATGGGGTGAGTAAACTATATACAGATGGTAATTTTGTGGGGGATGTATCCCTTTAAGGAAATTTAAAAAGCACTTTTCAAAGGGAGTGATGGTTGAGGAAAGATCAGGGAGTAATAACTATCAATAGAAATCCTCCTCTGGGGTCTGTAGATGTCAGTGGTGATCTGGCCAGCAGGGTTTTGCTCTGAAACAAAGTGTTGGCTTCGATCCTTGGGCTCCACTTCCAGTGGGGCAAAAAAAATGAAATGACTGACTGCAACCAGGTAGCTCATTGGACAAATCCAGCCCAGGGCATTTATTTGATTCTTGAGGAACTTAAAAGTGTTCTAATTATTTTTTGGCCCGACAACTGAAAAACAAATTAGCTAGCTAACAAATCAACACCTAGTTAAACTTACCCAGGTTACCCAGCACCATGTACAAGCACAAAGTACAGTATGTGTGTGTCCTCAGCTGCTCACTAGGTATTACATTTTCATTGATTGATACATATTGATCACCATGTCTCAGGCTCAGTGATTATTTGTGCTGCAAGCAGTGATTCACTGGCATACTTGTATGACTCCATGTGTGACAGTGATGGACACCGACTCAAACTCAGGTCAAAGGCGCCATGAGTGACTCTGTGTGTGTGAGCGTGTGTGTGTCAGAGTGTGTTTTACCCGCTACTAAAGAGGCCATGCGAGTATCCATTAGCGTGTCGTCATAGGGAGATATTTCCAGCTCATCTTCCCCTGGAGAAAAGGAACACACAAACATTGGCAAACAATTGAGTGATCTCTTAAAGTGTGACCCACAGTAGCTCGGCAGGAACAAATGTAAGACAAACACTGTGGCAAAGAGAGCAAACGGTAATTGAAACTCAATGTGAACTCCCTCAAATGCACAGTGAGGAGATATTCAATGTAATCTAGAATGAGGCCATGAAATGATTTGAAAAGATGAATAAAACCAAAGCATGACTATGTTTTTCACACTTTGCCATGGAACTCTGTGGCCTAGGACTGAACTTTGGGGCACACCAACATACAGTAACTATTTAGCCTCTTTGAATAGGACTTCCAGAGGGAAAGAGGTTTCTTGATAGAAATCTAAACCAGTCCAGAACTCTGCTGGAGAACCTGAGTCACAATTCAAACCTCTAAATGAATAAATTAATTTTTTTAACCATTCAAAACGACTTTGATTTACAACTTTAAGCAAGACTGTTTCCGTGCTATTTCTTGCACAAAAGCTGGATCGATTTTTTGGGGATATACAGCCAATGCAATTTAATAGGTGAAGAGAAACCAAGACCTTTATTTTGTTCAAAAACATTAAGAAGCTACGGAAGCCCAAAGAGGCAAGTGAGAAAATGATATCTGGTATTGTTAAAGTCTGATCCGAATGGTTTTATTTCTTGTGTTTACGGCTTAAGAACAGGTAAAACCTGACGCTACACCTGGTCAAAGCATGGAGAACAAGCTCCAGCTAAAAAAGCTCTCCCATTACCCTTTAAGCTGTGGGAGTATTTTAGACATTATTATTATTATTTTACATTTATTAACATAATGCTCTGTGGGCACGAACATTTCCAAAAGTGAAAGCATCCTGGAGCGATGTGTCAAGGTGGCAGCAAGACAGCACTGTTGTTTTTACATTTTGTCTCCACCAAAGCGTGATATATTAGGATTATCGACATCTTTCTGTTAGTAGCAGTCACTTCAAATGTATTTTCTAAATGTTTCTTCATCGTGGCATGTTTCGGCACCACTGCTGTTATGGTAACGTAACATTACACCATGCATCATCTAACTTTGGCATTCGGACATTTTACAAGTTCTGTTCACTTAATGGCCGAGTTTGAGTGCAAAAATGGCTTAAACACATATTTGAAAATTATTATCTTTCCTTATTTGTGATGAAATACATACATGTCATGATAACCATTGTAAGTACTTAAATAAATAAATTAGTTGTTACATTACTCAACTATTCCCAAAAATAATCGGAACATTAATTGTTAAAAATAATTGTGAGGTGCTGATTCTACACCAAGAAAAGCTAAACAGAAAATGAACTTCTCCATTTCATAAATCAGCATCAGCTGAAACAGCCTGAAAAGCTACTGGTTGTTTTGGCAGTATGTACAGTAAGTCATCTCGTGTCTAACGACACATTTTAGCATAAATAAACAGGCAAACAAGTACTTGAACTGCTGAAAGTAAAAGTTTAAGTCTAGAAAGTTTGATCCCAGTTTTAAAATTGCAACATTTTCCTTTAAGATAACAAGGTTATTCTAGTGCTTATGTCATTGCACAAAGAGTCAAGATAACACTTTATGGAGGTACGACTAAGCAATACAGAAAAGAGATATGACGCTGGTGGAACATCTTCCAATGATAAGAGGACCATTGGCGTAAACATGACTCATCTGCAACATCAACACATCCAGAATGTTCAAATCCCCCGACATTATACTGCAGTCATACATGTGAATGATTGATAACAGATCAAACCCAGTAAAAGCTGCCTCACCATCATGCTGCTCTGTGTAAATTATTCCGTGACATATTCTATCTCTGAATTAAGTTGTCACTGTATTTTCTAACAGTTCACACCATGGACCTGACGTTTATTTTACAGAAGTTAGTTAGAAGACCTGCCTCCCATGCACTGCAGAGGGGTCCCTGAAGTAAAACCACCCCTTTGCACAGCCTCTATGAGTCTGTGATGAATAACGCACCAGTTTCTTACTCACTACGCGTGTTATCACTACGAGTGTTATCACTATGCGTTTTGCATGTGATTTGAGGTCAGGCAACGTAGTAGAAAGAGCAAGAAAGTCTGCCGTTGACCTTATTTACAGGGACTACTTAACTTCTGTATGGCATTTATGTAACAAACATCCTTATTTTAACACGGGCAACACTCTGTTCTTGAACACAACCAAGTGGTTTTGTTTGAATTCCCAACGTTAACCAAGCAATTTAAAGTACGACTGTGCGTCCGTATGTGATGAGTTAGGAATGACAACGTCAGTAAAATGACAAGACGAAAAGCTTAAAAATGTGTAGAAATGTCCTGAAGAGATCATGATGGCATGCGAGTCGTTAGAAGGAGGCCATGAATTTAGCACTACACAAGTGACGAATTGCTGTCATTCTACAGGTTGTTTCATTTCTCATTTAAAGAAGTATTTCAACATTTTGGGAAATACACTTACACTATTGTCTTACAAGAATGAGATGAGAAAAAACGGTGGGAAACAGCAACCCTGGCTCTGTCCAAAGTAAAAAATGAATCGTACCAACACCTCTAAAGCTAACAAATTAGCATATGCAACTCATTTGTTTGTTTAAATTCACAGACACAAAGAAAAAGGCAAAACTTTAAATACAGTTTATTGTTACGTGGAGTAACACTTTTTTGCTAGGCGTGGCTAACCCCCCAGCTCCAGCTCTACTTAATGCACATAAGTAAGAGTGGTTTCAATCTTCTCACTCTCTTCTTTTAATATTATATTTAATATCATTCTTGTTCATCTCGTTACTGAGGGCTCTATATCCATGTAACACAACATCATAAAAACAACCCGTGTCACTCAATACTACCCCCCCCTCTGTCATTTGATTTTCACCCTCAGTACCCGACATAAGGATGGGAGATTGATGGGCAGTCACCATGAGCCTTGAGTGACTAGTGGACGAGCCGCAAATGATCTAAAACACCCTCAAAAGTTCAAACTCAATCAACAATGTAATAGCATGTAAAGTGTTTATGTATGTAAATCCTATTCTACACTATATATTTATGGTAATGACACACTAGAGCAGCCTAGCAGCGTTAGGAGGTGAGGAGTGTGTAATTACACTAATGCTCCGCTGACTAATAGGCCACAGGGGAGCAGGAGTCCGCTGGCTAGCGGTAGCTCACTTACTGATGCACACATCACACCAGCAGCACGGATGTGCCTCAGTTACCGTGTGGGTGTTGAGAGTGAGGTCTTTTTGACTAGACCTCACATAGATACATAAGGCTGGATTGGAATTATGACAAATTTGGGTGGGTTTTCACGACGACGCAGCTGTAACCGCCCTATGAAAGCAGTGCAGAGCGCCGTTTGTCAGCTAACCAGTGCACGAGCATGCCCTAGAAAGCATGCGTAGCTGGCCTGGCAATGTTAACAAAGCAAGAGGAAGCTCGGACAACGACACGTTCTGCTCAACTAGACATCACTCCATCATGTCTTTACATAGCAAATAGCTTGTTGTTGCTATATTAATAGCTGGCCTTATTGTCCGTGTTAACAAATCTGATGAAAACAGCTAAACCAACAATAAATAGATTGTTACTACTGACAAATATTATCTGTGTGTCCAAAGACTGCCATACAGCTCCATTGTTGTCCACAAAGACATCCATGAGCCACACCGTTGCTCTAGGTCACACACACACACACACACACACACACACACACACACACACACACACTGCAGTTTATTTTGATTCAATCCCACACCATCTTGATGTCCCAAATTCACACCAGAGCACCACATGTGGGTGAATCGCTGTAAATAGCCACCTACAAATGCACGTTTTTAATTACTGAGCCCTTACTGAATATGAGGTTTGGGGCTGAGAGCCACAAACAGAGAAGGGAAGTCATATACGTTTGAGGAATGGAGTAACACATTGTTGTTTTTTGTATTTTATATGGAAATGTTGACAATTACAACAAAAGAATAAGCCCAGCTTAATATTAATTACAGGATGTGTGACTTGCCCTTAAAGCTGCACTGATACTGTTGTTTTTTACATCATGTATGGGTTGTAATTGCTAAATGATGGCTTCTAGCTGAAATTAATTTGCACACAATAAACTTGTCCGATACACTGTATCTGTAGCCATGCTAGCTGCCACTTTCTATTAAGTTGTTATGGCTAACTTAGTAGCATACAGTTAAATATTTACACATCCAACAGACAAAGGGCTCATAGTCAACTGAGTCTTTTATTTAAGAAATATATTGTTCAGTGAAGCTAAACGCCCAAAACGTTTTTCTGTGTCTGAAACATGAAACACAGTCAGTTCATGTGTTTCAGGCAGGAAGACATTCTGTATAACATAGGTAATTTCGCATAAACTATACAGTATTTTCAACACTTCGCCGCAGTATCAAAACGGAAGCTTGCTGAGCTCGGCGCTCCCACCGCAGCTTTCCATAGTCATTGCATGGCAGCTCGCCGCAGGCTGCACTTTTCGGAGCTCTGATAACCGCGCACTGTATTGGCTTTAGCCCCCCAGGACCTTGAACTGGATGAGTTGATAATGAATGGAAAGAGGGAGACCCAGTTTTAGATATGCCCCCCCACATACAGGTCCACCCCCACACCTCAGCCCCAGCAGAGGCCTGACTGACCTGGCAGCAGGCGAACCCTCCAGTATATGCGCAGGCACTGCTCCTCCTTGCGAAAGCCGCGCTGGCACTTGCAGGCCACAAGAGCGGGGTGCTTAGCCAGCAGAGCGTCCTGTCTCTCCAGGCACTCGGCGGCCACCTGCTCCCCCAACCGGGACACCGCTGCGTCGGCCGCACACAGCTCCAAGCCCCGGTACAGCGCCTCGCACCGGGGGTCGGCGGAGCACACTCGGTGAGCTTCAACACAGTCAGTGGGGGAGAGAGGTGGAGAGGGCAACACACCTAAATGAGTACAAAAGAGATGGAGAGAGATAAGTTATGTGTCAAGGCCTAGTCACACCCCAGCAAAAATAATATGTGGTTCTAGAAGCTCGGTATTGTAATGACCCTATTCAAACCTGGCATCAACACTGTTGGGTGAATCGATCACAAGCTGAGAGCAGTAAATATAATGTAAGTATCCACCAAGACTTGCAGAGGTGGTCTGGGACGCAGTTGACCACTTATCTTTTGAAGTGTAGAGGCTAACGTGTCCCCGACAAGGACCTAATAGGATATTAAAGCCATAGGTCTCCCTTTGTTCTTCCTTTCTCCCATCTCCATTGGATTCTAAGCTGTCTTAGTCCACAACGTCTGAAGATTTCAAAAAGTCCTTGGAGATATATATTGAGAGTACGTCAAACATCTTGGCGATTTGTTTTTTTCTGAAATACGCCAACGAATAGACCCAGTCTGTAGTGTTCTGACTTCTTCTTTTAATGTCGGCAGACCAGGCATTGGGAAGTGAATTGCCTAAAATCTATTTACGTTTTCTTCTGCTAACATCCGATATTTAAACAGCTTAGCATTACGAAAAGGTGTTAGCTAGGGAGTTTAAAAGTTAAACGTAATTGTACTTTTATAGCGCCCCGTCATTCACTCATTTTCACCTGTTCATACACTGATGTCTTCGAGAGCAATTTGGACAATGACATGCAGAGCCTGGGGATTAAACCGTCAATCTTCCAAGTCCCAACAAATCCGTAAAACACTGATATGTCCCGGTTTTCAACAGACACTACCAAATTGTCCCGGTTTTCACCCAACTAAAATAATAATCCCTTCTAAAGAGCTCCAGGAAGCTTACTCTTACCTTCGTAAAGTATCTGGCCATTAAGATGCTTCTTCTTCACCCTGCAAGACTACATTTTCGGTCGCACGAGGTGGAAATGCCGATATGAAAGACCATATTAAGATGGCCAGATAGCAATATACAATAGCAAGCATTTGGTGCATGCATAAGTGAATGTGCGGTACACTTTAGGGTCCCGGTGTGGAGGTTTGAAAATATGGTCACACTGGTGTTACCAGAACTCGCCAGAGTTTGTTACTGAGATTGAGACAGGTCTCAGATCATTTTCTCCTGATTTGTCCGTCTAAAAAAATTCCGTTTTAGATATGTGGATTGTGAATAATGGGTCTGACATTTACTTCAGTGACAACAGAGTGAAAGAATCGGTCATAATCTGTGCTAACATTCACTTGTCCAATTGGAGTGAATAGACTCAGGACCTACTTCAAAAGGGCCAAATTAGTGGCGAAATCAACATACAGGATAATGATTATTACAAATGAACTGAGAGGAGTAAACATGAAGTCACATTGTGCCAAAATTAAACAGTGCTTACTTTGTGAGCTCCCGTGAAAATGCGGCATCGTAACTTCATTTCATCCATATCTGTGAACCTCATCAACGTTCTTCTCTTAAGTCATTTCCTTTATCGTTCTAGTTGTAATCTCTGTAAAAATGTCTATTTTTCCATCCTTGATCTTGCAGAATAAGCAAAAGGTCCCGAACATCTCGTCTTTGACAGTTACCTTGCAGTAATTTAATGGTTTAGGTATGAATTCATGTCTAATTGGTCTGTTTTCACACCAAAAATGAACCATGCCAGATTGTGATTGAAGGCAGATAAAACCCCTATGTTTCAAGAATGCTCGCTGTGGTTGTTGGTCTACATCAGAGTTGTGAAACAGCCAAACTAAACAGAGTTTGTTTGAAGCAGCTTGTGTGTTTGAGGTGTGAAAGCACCCTAACAGGTCAGGGAACACTGTGGGCCAGACGTCATGCCTATAGTCACACAGGCCGGCTTCCACTCATCCGACTTTCAAATGAGGAACGTCCCATTTTCAACCGTATACCTTTCTGTTTCCTTTTCCAGAACACTAAAGTAGATGCTCCTCAGCCAAGACATTAAGCCCCGGATAAAGTTACCCAAGCTAGTTTTCATTTATTACAGGCGTCTGCACTGTGTGGAACTTTCTCCAAGAGGGGAACCGTTGTTTTTTGAAGTGTGTCTGCTTCGATTTGCAATAGCAAAGAGAAGAGGCTTCCCTGGTAAAAATCCAATAGCTGATATATGCACAGGGGGAGAGTGCAGAGAAGTTGTTTGAGGACAGCAGAAATGTCATACGGGGAGTAGAAATAGGGGAACGGAAAGACGGATGGGAAAATGGAGAGGTGTGAGGCGAGGGAGAGGGGCGAGAGAGATAGAGGCAGAGGTGGAGAGCGAGCGTACCAATGTGAACCTTGATGGGTTGGACACGCACACAGTATGAGACACAATCAGCATGCACCGCCGAAAATGAGGTTCTTAGAATCACACGGAAATGCACATATATGCACGCACACACACACGCACACACACGTACACACACACACAAACACACGTACACGCAATTACAAAAGAACAACACGTAAGCACACACACACACACACACAAGCGCATGGCTGCCCTGGGAAGGCCCCTTCTATGTGTGGGTCCTGCTGGGAGGGAGACTGGGAGGCACAGAACCCATCATTACTACCAGAATACAATACTGCACAACCACAGGGGAGGGGGGCGGAGGGGGCAAAGCAATCTGTCTAAGACACACACGCGCATACATACTCGCATAGGCTTCCACACACACACACACACACACACACACACACACACACACACACACATATCTCGGTGTCAGAATAAAGTGGCTGAGAGAGCATAAACAGCTTAACATTCGGTGCCGGATCAGTAGACAGTATGTAAATTGAATACTGAGTGTGCTGATGAAAGACTAACCACATACATAAAACATTGTTGGTTGAACAAACAGCCTTTGTGGAGCGCCGCTTCCCGACGCTGCGCCGCAACTCACTTTGTCCACACATCAGACTATGGCTTGATCCCGACCACCTCTCTCTCTCTCTGAGGTTGTCTCACGCCAGCACCGCATCATCAAACTTTTACAAAACATTTTTTTTATCTCTGCTAAACTGGAAACACTGCGTTTTCTTCCCTTTTTCATCCCTTCATCTCAGTCATCCAGGTAGTACGACGTAATATATCGCTTCACAAAAAAAGTCCAAAGAACTCCCTTCAGGGATTTGAAGAAAGAAACTCCAATGGAGTCCATCTGGCGTCACATAGTAGAAAAAATATTAGCATTCAGATCAGTTGCTAAGCCGAGGCAACAGATTAATTAACTCTGTGAATGGACTGCTAAACTGCATGCGCTTTAGATGCTATTTTTGAATAACGCTTCCAAAAGCCAGAATGCATCTGGCATTCAGAATAAAAGTGTGGAATAATAATTCTGTAAAAAGAAAAAATGTAACCATCATACCAGTTAAATCATCATACTAGTTAAAGCGACGACAAGGAACTTTCCTTGTTGTGTTGAATTTGGCGGCCCCTGTGGACAAAGCAGTAGTGTTTCCATGAGCACCCTGCATCGTGTCGTAAAGATGTGCAGCTGCCAGTCTCCTTTAGAAAAGCTCTCGTTTTACTGCTGCAGGGTCTGACAGTCTTCACCTCTCAGTCCTGGTTCTCCCGTGCCTCCCTTTCCTCCAGCGGGCCCAGCAATACGGCATGGGCCTCAAGCAGCGTGTTGTTGAAGTTGGCTCCCAGGAAGTGGCTCCCAGAAACAGCCACTGGTACATGCGATTGAACTTCCCGCCGGCCGAAGTCGATGTACAGGTCACCCTGGACCATGTGAAAGATCCTCCCGACCTCCATCTTGTTTTTTGCCCAGACCCAAAGCCGGATCTGGGTCTGAACGCGGCAGGCTTTTTGCTGCCGGAGGCCGCACTTGAGTTTGAACTAACGGAGGTTCTGCCAAACCTGAGCGCCGAACATCGTTTCGTCTGATGTTGCAGGGATTCAGACCCAATGACGAATAACATATTTTGAATATATAGAACAGCCAATCCTCTCACCAATGGTCTTGTTTGCTTATGTAAGTCATATAGAGGCATCAATATTACATTGAAACTGTTTCATAACCAGTTAGAAGTTAATTGTAGTAACTTTAACTCAAGGAGCAGGCTGCAGAGGTCTGGTAAGATCACTTCTTCCTTATTCCACATCCCCAGAGTTGTTTAATTTTCAAACTTGTAGTTTTCAGACCCAGCTGAAGCTGACTTTAGAACCTTTATGTGACTTCACACAGCCCCTATGGAGACAATAAAGGCTTTATACAACTTCTTTCACATAGGCAGTAGAACTCTCAAACACAGGGAAACACACTTTGACGTGTAAAATGGAGTAAAATGGAGGAGGTCCCTGTCAGTAGACCTAAAACCAGCATGAAAACCATTGTGCAATTCCTCTTTGATTGTTAAAGAAATAGTTACATTTTAGGAAACATGCTAATACGCTTTATTGCAGAGAATGAGGTGAAAATAGTCACACCACTCAAATATAATACAGACGCAGACAACACACCGATATACCTTCCCCAGAGACCTGGTGACCCAAGAAGCCTTGCTGTTGCTTTAGACCGTCTCAGTGATATCAACTGTTGGATTGCACAAAAAAAGTTTTCTTCAACTCAATAACTCAAAATCAGAATGTATTCATTCTATCTGGTTATTGTTAACGGATCAAACTCTTGTGACATTGAAGGATCATATAGAAATATTCATTAAAACACAGAGATGAGAAGATAAAAAAATTATAAGCAAAGCTGACATACCGTTATTAATTCATCATGTCATCATATGATACTTTGACATTTACATTTTTATATTGGGACACTAATAAAAACAGCTTTATGCAACGCAGATGAGTGAATCCAGCAAAAGCAGACTACTCTGCTTAAGGCAGCCTAAAAGCACATCATAAACACTGTCTGCTGGCCTTTACGGAGCTTTCCGTTAGATTATACAGAAGGAAGTACAGGACACGTAAGAAGGACACATTATTATAAATGTCACATTCATTTTGAAGGAGCTTTTACATTCTTGTCTTCTAAATCTCAAT